TTTGCTCTTCAAAACTATAAAAAAGAAAAAAACGTTTTATTCTTCTCCCTGCCTTCTTTCCTCTCAAATTGAGTTCATGATTAGTGTATTAGTTATCTATTGCAACATAACAAATTATCCTCAAATGCAGTAGCTTAAAACAACAAACATTTATCTCACACAGCTTCTGAGGGTCAGGAATCCATCAGGGGCCTATTTGGGTGATTCTGGCTCAGGATCCCTGATGAAGTTGCAGTCAAGCTATCAGCCAGGGCTAAATCTCTGAAGACTTGACGAGGGTTGAATGATCCATTTCTAAGCTGACTAACATGGCTGTTGGCAGGAAGCTTCAGTTCTTCACCATGTGTACCTCTCCATAGGGATATTTATGACTTGGTGTAAGAGGGTGGGAATAGTAATAGTGTCAGAGCCTGTCTAACTTTATGGGGGATAATGAGAATCAAGATCAGCCAAAAGCTGATTCCAGACACACCTCCACTCTCCAACCTTTTCACCAGTTCTGACACCAGCAGCCCCTTCAACAGCACTCTCTACTTCTGGGTTCGATAATCCACTGCAATGGCCACACAGACCACACTTAGAGTTAAGTGGTTTATGAAGGAACAGGATACAACTCAGGATCTAGATCAGGAAGCACGTAGGTAGTCTCCCTTCCTCAGTGCAGAACAGCTCTCTCTCAGCAGGACAGGCCTCCTCTTGGCCCCCTTGGGACAGGTTCCTCTTGGACCTGCCGTCTGTCACCACCAACTCTGCCACAAGGCCCCTTCTGGACCTGTCGCTGCCAGCTTTGCCACTGGGCCCCTTCTGAGCCTGTCACCACCTTCGGTGTTACAGCCCTTGACCCATTCTATAGCTCCTTTAGGAGGTTTCTTTCCACCTCTCTGCTTTTTTTTTTCTTTCTTCCTTCTGCATCTTCCTGCATTTTTCTGTCTCAAGAACTCTGTGGGGTTGACTGTTTATATACACAACTCCTTGTCAATTTCAAGGCATGGTCTCTCCAGTGAGGGCCACAAACGGACTGATCCCCTCTCGGAGGCAGATACTTCATTTGCATGGTAGGCTATAGTCACTTCATTTGCATAGTCTATTGACCAATCCCTGCAAGGTGCATACCAATCACAGGGCAGGCTTCAGCCCAGGACCAGACAAAAAGAATCCAACAAAAAGAAACCAAGTTGTTTACAGCTTATGTAGGAAATATACAAACCCTCTGGATTAGAAAACTAGGGCAATGGTAACACCTCAGGGCTTAGGAGAAAAATCTCTCAAGCTGGTTTTCCAAAGAACCAAGGCAAAAGGCCACATAAAACAACTCATTTCACCACCCATGGCTTCTACCAGAGCAAATGATATGAGAGAGCTGGGGCAGGGGGTCAGAGGAGAGAGAAGAGAGACCAAGATGGAAATCATGGTCTTTTATAACCTAATCATGAGAGTGACATGCAAAAACTTCTGCCATATGCTATTATTCACACAAACCAACCGTGGCACAGTATGAGTGGAGACTGCACAAGGGATAGTGGGGATCATTGGGGCCATCTTGGAGGTTGGTTACCATAAACAAAGCATAAGAACCCAGCTGGAATCACACATCTCTAGATGCTTAGGGCTAGTTAGTTTCCTCTATCAGTTAGCATTCTTGGTTGCAAGCAACCAGCTCTGGCTAATTTAAGTACAAAGGGAATTTAATGAAGAATTTTAGTTTCTCACAGAACTAAAAAGAAGGTTCATGGGATCAGGCTCAGAGAATGTCAGGAACCAAGAGATATTTGCTGAACTGATATATAAATTTAAAACAAAATATTTTACATTAAATTATATACCATAATATACTAGTATAGCAGGTATATTAAATAATTACAACCCGTGGGATATACTCAAAATGCAACTTTATCTTTCACTGATTCTTTAAATTTTATCCACTACAGGAAAATTCTCCTGCTATTAGATGAAAAATCTAGCTGGCCCAATAATTTTATCACTCTTAGGTAACAATGAGCCTACAATTACTTTATATTGCAAAACAATCTTGATTTAGAAATCAAAGTATCTAGTTCAATATATTAATACTTCAGTCTTCAAAGGTGAGACTTCTGCACTTACCTTCCACCCAAGGCCTATGTGTTAGTTTTCTATTGCTGCTAAAACAAATTATCACAAACTTAGTGTCGTACAACAATGCAAATTTACTGTCTTACAGTTCTGGAGATCAGAAGTCCAAAATCAGTCTTGTTGGATTAAAATCAAGGTGTGGCAGGGCTGCACTCCTTTCTGGATGCTCTAGGGAAAATCCATTTCCTTGTCCTTAATAAGAGGCAACCCACATGTATTGGCCATGGCCCCCTTCCATCTTCAGAGGCAGTAATGGTGGGTTGAGTCCTTCTCATATCTCATCCCTCTGACCTTTGCTGCCTCCCTCCTCTACATTTAAGGACTCTTGGACTACAATGGCCCATCTGGATAATCCAGGATTTAAAAAAAAAAAAAAAAAAAACCGTTGCTGTCAAGTCAATTCCGACTCATAGCAACCATATAGGACAGAGTAGAACTGCCCTATAGGGTTTCCAAGTCTGTAATCTTTAAGGAAGCGAACTGCCACATCTTTCTCCAGCAGAGCGGCTGGTAGGTTCGAACTGCCTGCCAACCTTTCGGTTAGCAGCCAAGCACTTAACTACTGTGCCACCCAAACCTATTGCTGTTGAGTTGATTACGACTTATAGCAACTCTATAGGACAGGGTAGAACTGCCCCATAGTTTCCAAGGCTATAATCTTTACGGAAGCAGACTGCCACAAAGGAAGGGATTACCCAATAAGCAAAGTATGCACTGACTTAATTGTACTTACTTACTAATCTGTGGTGCACAATTGCATGTTTTTCTCCACAATTCACCACAACAAAGATGTGGTGAAACCCGTGTGAAATTGTGCTTACTGGTTAATCCGCTCCTACTGCCATATCTTTCTCCTGCCGAACTATCGGTTAGCAGCTGAGCACTTTAACCACTGTACCACCAGGGCTCCTTATAATCCAGGCTACTCTATTTTAAGGCCAACTGATTAGCAATCTAAATTCCATCTGCAACCTTAATTCCCCTTTGACAAGTAGCCTAACATATTCATAAATTCCAAAGATTAGGATGCGGCCAAGTTTTCGAGATCATTACTCTGCCTACCACAGCCTGTAATTCAGGAGCCAGCCAAAAGACAACCACTGGTGAGAGCTAACACAAGGTATGAGGATCATAAAAAAGCAGTAAGGGAAAACAGCATCACCAGCAGTTACAGCTAGTTTAGGCTACAGCAAATTGGGTTGAAAGAAGAGGCTGTCAGTTGTGGGCACACTGACAGAGCAAGCAATCGGCTAATTTAACTTGTTTCTGCCTTCAGAGAATCCCTGGCTATACTTCCCAACCACAACCCAGTTAAGAGGATAGTCAGCTAGATAGTGGCCCTCTAAGGAGTATTAAAACCTCACTAGAATACATTGGAAACGTGTGTCAGGTAACAAAGATTTCCAAATACAATTCCAAATTTAACTAGTGAAAAGAAAACCAGTCTTGTTCCCACCAGAGCAGACAATACCTTCATGAAGAAATAAACACTTCTTGCTGGTACCTTATCATGTTGAATTTTTTTAATGCGAAAATGCCACCAATCCTGAGACCACTCACCTAAGAGCCATCTGACACCAGCAGTTGCAGGCAGCTAAAAATTATGAAATTGAATGTTGTAGTTTTGGTTATTGGAAATGAATCTGGCCTTGGCAAACCGCATGTAACAAATATATACAATAAATTCCTTATTTTGAAAATAGAAGTATACAATTTTTATTAATAAAAAATCAGTGTCTACCCAACTCCTCCAAGTTCATGTTCAGCAAATATTTAAATATCACTAGATCAAAGGGAAAACCAAACTACTGGCCTTCTTCAGTTTTTTTTTTTGGCTGCAACTTGGCAAGTAAATTCAATTTCAAGTGAGACATTTTAAGTCTCATGGCATTTTTCAATCTAGCTATTACCAGAGTTTCCCTCGAGGTTTTTGGACACATGCAGGCTATCAATGAGAAAACTGATGTTTAAGGATCTACCATAAGCAAAGCACTATGCTAGGTGCTAGAAGTTCAGCAGTGAACTGGACACAGATTTTGCACGCACACACACACAGACACACACGTACGTACGTACTGGTCCCTGGCCTCATGGCCAAGTTTCCTCTGATTTCCTCCATGGATTTGTTAGTTTTCAGATATAATTCACTATTTTACTAGTAAAATTCACCCACTTAAATGACAATTTAAAATAATTGTTTTCTATCTTAGGAATTTTCACTGATTAACAATTTAGTAGCTAAATGTAGTTTTAAAGTCAATCAGAGGTGGGGAAGAAGCCCTGGTTGTGCAGTGGTTAAACACTTGGCTGTTAATCAAAAGGTCAGAGGTTTGAATCTATCAGCCACTCTGCTCAAGAAAAATGTGGCAGTCTGCCCCCATAAAGATTTACAGCCTGGGAAACCCTATGGGGCAGTTCTGCTCTGTCCTACAGGGTTGCTATGACTGGAAATCGACTCCACCACGGCAATGGGTTAGTGGGTTAGAGTGGGAGCGGGAACTTATCATCACACAAGGTAAGTTTTCAGAGTCAAAAGGCCAGCATTTACCAGTCCATTCAGTTCTGACCACTCCCAATCTGATGGTATCCCTTTAGAAAATGCCTCCATTTCAGTCACCTTTTTCTTTCCTTCAAGGTAACAATGTAGTCAAATGACCTTTGCTGTTTCAGAGCTTCAGTCACTCTCATTTGCACAACCAGGTTTAACAGATGAGTTCTGCCCCCCTGCTTCTCCCCAAGGTTAGCTGCTCCTGATGAGACCTCGTGTCAGCTCAGATTAGCCCTCGCTTCCCTCCCAGACCAGAAGTCAGGATAACATAATGGGATTTGACTACCTGTCTAAAACACCTCCACATTTCAGAAAACATTTCACACTGAAGAGTTCAGAATTCTGGGAATCAATCTGCATTTTATTTTACAGTACATTCAGTTAAGTTCCTGCATTTCCAAGGTAACCAGATCACATTCGGTTTAGCACTGCTGGTAACAAAATTATACAACTACCCTGGCTTCAAAAATAAGATAGGGGTGATGCACATTAATACTTCTTTCCCTTTAATACTGTAGAAGATAATATGACAAAATAAATTCTCCAAAAACCACATGGGACATAGGTAGAATAAGAAGCGTTTCAAGTTTAAAACCTTTAAAATGTCCCCCAATGTCATCTTTCTCTTTTAACTGCCAGTTGGCACATGTCAGCTTTAATACCTTGGAAAGGGAGAGAGGAAAGCAGAAGATCATTTAACTCAGAAACTCATGGCTTTTCGGGTAATCCTGTAAAAAATACTTAAATAACCTAAAATTCTAAAAAGAGTTAGTATTAACAAGGGATGGCAATATAGGAAGCACCTGGAGAAAATTCCTCCAGTCACTGATGGGAAATTTAAGCTGCAGACATTCCACAAAAATGGAAAAACTATATCACATCCAATAATATGTTAAATTCTGAAAATATATTTTCATTTTATGGAATGAAAACACTATGATCTATATTCTAATCTTGACCAGTTGAGGAAAACAGCTGTAACCCCTACCTGCAATATTTTCTATGGACTATCTTACATCATTACAGTCTAAGAATGCAGCTGCCCAATATCCCCAACCCTTGAAAAATATAAGAAGCCAAACTGAGCTATAAAAAAAACTAAAACAAATTAGGCAGGAGAAAAATTCTTATGTGTGAGAAAGCAAGATGTTAGATTTATTTGGGTCTTTTTCCTAAATAAAAACTATTGTTGTAAAACGTTTTGGGCCCTGGTCCAACACAGCTGGAATGATAACTTATCGAAAATGTAAGCCCTCATCCAAAACGACAGTGTGCTTATGTAGCACCTTTCTCCTAGAAGTTCAATGTGCTTTAGATGTAATTATCAATTAATTGCATTGTTATGGATTGAACTGTGTCCCTCCAAAAATGTGTCGTATATCCTAACCTCTAGAACTGTGGTTATAATCCCATTTGGGAATGGGTTTTCTTTGTTATGTTAATGAGACAGGATTAGTGTAGGGTGTATCTTGAGTCAATCTCTTTGGAGATATAAAAGAGATTAAACAAGCAAGTGAAGAAGAGTGATGGGGTAAGATACATGCCAAGACACATGGAGATCTCCAAGGAACCAGGAAGCAGAAGGTGAAGACAAGGCCCTTCCTCCAGAGCCAACAGAGAGCCTTCCCCTAGAGTCAGCACTCTGAATTTGGACTTCTAGCCTCCTAAACTGTGAGAAAATACATTTCTGTTTGTTAAAGCCATCCACTTGTGGTATTTCTGTTATAGCAGCACTAGATAACTAAGACATGCATAATTAAAATTACATGATTCAGAATATACACAAACTTACAGTTAACTCCAGTGATTAAAGAGCCCCCACCACTTGCTGCCAAGAAACTGTTGAGTCCTGAACCTACCAGGCTATGAATGAAATTGATATTCATATATGCTGACCCCGAAAGAAATACCACCCCTTTTGGGCCTGAAAATTATGTTGGAAGAGGAAATAAGACACTTCTTAGGAAAGACACAAAACATGTTATGAAAAACCAGAGCCAGTGCATATTTTACAACCCCTGAAGGAAGCCCCCAGCAGTAGGATGAGCTAGGGGAGCAATGACATTTTTGAAACCAGAGTGACTTGTAGCTAACTGCCTAACAGTAAATCCACACAGTAAAATGCAGAATAAGTCAACATATAACCAAGGTTTACATTATATCTAGAAATATGTTTTATGCTTTAAAAAAAATTGCAATGCACTCCAAAAAAATTTTTCAGATAATTCATGTACAACAGAAGGCACTGTTATCCGCATAAATGCACTGATTCTGCATGGCAAAAACCTGAGACGTGCAATTCAGTCCAGTCTTCTAGAACCACCTTGGTCATTCTTCCTTTGGAGCATATGGTTTGTCCTTTTCAGTTCGATGATTTTGTTTACTTTCATACATTACAGTAGCTGTTTAAAATACATGTTTCCAGACGAGAAAGGTCAAAGGGGAAGACAAGAGCAGACAGAAGTGCTGCCTAATGCCAGATGGTAGCTGGTACGGTAGGAGGGCAGTAGAAAGGCAGCCCCCTCATTTCCTCCTCTTGTCCCTCACACCACCCTTATGAAATAAAATGTAGCGAAAACCTTTGGTCGGTTGACGTTTCTTCTTTCAGTTGTTGCTGGGCACCGACCCAAAGTTAAAAGCAGTGAGAACTCCTTTGTTTTCAAATGTGAAGCCTCCCTGTTGTTCAATCTTCTTCTTTGCCTCTAGCATTTTCCAAAAGAAAGCCAAAAAAGAAAGGAACAGTACTTAAGGTGACAGAGTTGGAAATACCTTCAAAGGAGCCAGGTTCTTTAAACTTAGATGTGTGAAAGAATATGACTCATGGTATTAATCATTCTACCACTTTGAACCTCAGCCTTTAACAGACCCTTGTCAGTAAGAAGTTATATTTACTATCATGGAAAAACTGTTTGCTGAAAACGAGCAAAATGAAAACAGATTTCAAGTTGTTTTCCATTAGCTTCCTGGTCTCTACTGCTGAAAGGCCTCCCAGACTTCTTATATAAGGAGGTCTAATACAGAATCTGTGCAAGACTGAAAATCTAATATATGTAGAGGAACACTCGTTCTAAACTGTAGATGTTTATTCCATGACTTTGTAATTACAAAATCTTTTCCATTGATTTCCTAGGAGTGATCATAATAATCTCTGCATAAGAGAATTTCTTTGGTGCAAAGAATCACCAACACGTAAAACCCAACAAATAGAAATGGGGAGTATCTCATTTCTGGGAACTAAGCTCCTTGCAAGAACTCATACAGTGCCTTTGGTTGAAATGTTGAGATGAGTGAGCCAGCTGTTTAACTCTTCTTCCACAAGACTCATCCAACCCTTACTCCTTACCTCTGGCCCCAGAATAAGATAAGGATGTGAATAAGAACACCACTAACAGACACATATCAATGCATAGATTTTTGCAGAGGTAAGATATTGTAAGTGGTTAAAAAGAAGAACAATCATACAATAATAACAATTCTTTATTATCTTGAAGGGCTGACCCCTAACAACTCTAAAAACAGTATTTTGATACCACCTGGTTCATTAAAAAGGCTGACTATTGGCATCCTGACACATCCACTCCATTCTGGAAATCACTCTGGCTGACCTGCCACAGATCTTCGGTGCTCTGCCACTGTGTAAACCTCCTGCAGTGCTCTCCTCTGATCCTCACTGAGTGGTGCCACCAGCAGTTGATACCAGGCAGCATCTCGATTCTGCACAGCTGTTGCATTTTACAGATGGTGTGGAGGGAAGAAAAGAGAATCCAGTGACAATTACTGTTGTAGAAAACAGCTAACTAATGACATGACCAAATTACAATGAAATTACCTCAGATAGTAAGAGACAATGAGTACAGTACTATAACAAACACAAGGTGGTGAAACTCATTCAAATAAGGGATTATCTCTGAGTACCACTTAATACTCAACTACGCAGGGGTATCAAAAGAAGTTTGGGACATTGCAAATCTCTGGTTTGCCTAGTTCTCTGACTTTTGCCTCCTTCACTGTCTCTTCTTCTTCTTGAGGTTTTACTATGGATGCTTCCTAAAATCCAAATCTTGGGAAGCACCTGTACTTTTCTTGTTACCGTTTTCCTCTGGAATTTGCATACTATCTGCAGCTTCAGCATCACTCCTATTCCAAGGACACAAACCTGCACCTTTAGACAAACATTTCCTTAAGCCTACTGGACTTTTCCACTTGGATAGTTCACCTCAAACTCAGCACATCTAAAAGCAAATTTAACACTTTACCTTCAAAATCCTCTTTACCTCTCCATTCCCCTTGTTAGTACTATCAGTCTCCCAATCAACCACTCTAAACCTCTGACATCTTTGATCATGCCCTCTGCACATCATCCTATGATTCTTACTTAATGTCTTTCACCTATATGCTTCTTCCCAGCAAATGCCACCTACTCACTCCAGGGCCTTATTATTCTTAAATTAATAATCTTCCAATACTCTGTTTCCTAGTCTAGCCCCCTTTAGCTCTTCTTGCATATTAACACCTGATAAATCCTGAAATAAACTACCACATTCATAATCTCATCCCCTTACAGAAAAACACTCAACAACACATGGGCAATGGCATAAAGATCATAAAGTTCAGAATTCAATGCTGCTACAATCTGACCCCATTTTATTCCTTAAGCATTGTATTTCTTAAGCAGTGGTCCCCACATGCCTGCCCAAAGCTGGCTAAGTATCACTTGAGGAAGATTTTTAAAATACATGCCCCAAGACCTAAAAGCTTCCTTGGTTACTGTGTCACACACCCATGTCTGGAAACAACTGCCTTAAAGCACGCCCTCCTTATTCCCATCTCCACATTTATGCTCTTATTTCGCCCATGTTTTGTGATATACTGCTCTATGCTCTCTGCCTCTAATTCCTGCCTGTCCTTCAAAACCCAGATTAAGTTCTAGTTTCTCCCCTAACTTTCTCTGACCACTGAAATCTCTCTCAGCTCTTAACTCCCCTAACCCATTGCCATCGAGTTGATTCCAACTCAGCAACCTGTAGGACAGAGTAGAACTGCCCCATAGGGTTTCCAAGGCTGTAGATCTTTACGGAGGCAGATTGCCACATCTTTCTCCCAAGGAGAGTTTGGTGGGTTTGAACCACCCCACTTTCAGTTAGCAGCTGAGCGCTTAATCACTGCACCATATGTTATCACTCATTTGGCACTTATATGTAACATTGCACTATGGGTTTCTCTTCTTTAACATAAAATAAAGTCTGATGATTCATATAATAAACACCTGTCTAGCCACCAGCAGGCTTCATCAAATCTCAATACTTGATCACATTTTCCATGCTTGTCTGTCTGTCTCCCTCACTCTTTAATAAAACATCACAGACACAGATAGAGCTGAAGCCTCCTATGATTCTATTCCCCTTGCTATAGTCCTTAGATGTACCTTTCCTTGGGTCTCCAACTATTTTTTGAGAATAGGATTAGACTGTGTATTTTTAGATCCTCCATGGTATACTGCACAGAATAAGTGCTCAATGAATATTTGTTGAAAAGTATTTCCATAAATGAAGGTTAGTAAGAAAAAGTAGAAAAAGAAAGCACCTCTAGATCAAATTCCGGACCTACCACGTGGCAGCAGGAAGTTATTTAACTTCTCTGAACGACTATTTCCATATCTGTAAAATAAGGATACCAGTACCTTTCCACTACTTATTTTATAGCATTATTGTGAGAATTATGGGAAATAATGTAGCTAAAAGTGCCTAATACACTGTGGCACTCGGATACTATTTTTCTTTCATTATTTTTTTTTTTTATGTTTAGTGTATAGTTCTTTGCATAACGTGGATCCGTACTAATGAAATTTCAAAAGTATTTGGTATAAACAGCATATATAGAAAAAAAAAGATTATTCAAAATATGGTGATGGGCTATCCATCTGAAAAAAAAAAAAGTTAGATCCCTACACCTTATACCATTCCCCAAAACTAACTGGGCACATATTAAAGATCTGAATTAAAAAAAAAAAAAACTATAAAAAAGGTAGAAGAAAATATAAAAGAAACCTTATAAGATCTTGAAGTGGGAAAGAGCTTTCTAAATATAATAGGAAAAATCAATATATGGCTGATGCCAGAAAAATTTCCATTACAGAGATTTTTGCTATTTCACCTTTTAAAATGAATCTTTCACAGGGACAGGTACAGTTACAATCACTAATGGCCACTGTTCACTTAGGCCTTAGTGAACTGATAAACACTAGATTGCAAGCCTACTTGCCTATTTGAGCTTAAGCTTTTCAAAAAAAAAAAAATATACATATATATATATATAGTATCAGAATATAACAATACACTAAACTTCAATAAAAACATAGTGATTTTATCTTCATTAATGATATTTGCAGCAATACTAAATAATGTCAATATATCATATCAGTATTGTCTTATTAGTAACAATCGTTTATACACAAGGATGCTCATGTTAATATTGCTTGTAATAGCAAATACCTGGAAATAGTTAAGTCCAACAGTGGAAATAAGTTAAATAAATTATGGTACAAAAATAAAATAATTTATATTAATGAGATATTTATTATAATTTCTTTGATTATTAATAAGTTTCGAAATCTTTTCATTGGCTTATTATTTGTTTCTATTCTCCAAATTTGCCATTTTTATTTCCCATTTTTATACTGGATTATGTCTTATTCATTTGTGGAAAGCATTTGTATATTGTGGGTCTTAAGTCTACATTAAGCACTTGGCAAATATTTTCTCCTAATTTTTTATGAATTCTTTAACTGTATTTATAGTGTCTTTAAGGAACCCTGGTGGCACAATGGTTAAGCACATGGCTGATAAGCAAAAGGCTGGTGGTTCGAAACCACCCAGGGGCTCCACAGGGGAAAGACCTGGTGATTTGCTTCCTTAAAAATGACAGCCTAGGAAACCCTATCAGTTCTGCTCTGTTCACATGGGGTCACTATGTGTCAGAATCTACTCGACAGCACCCAATAACAACAAGGTAGTGTCTTTTGCTGTATAAAATTGTTAAATTTCTTATGTAGTAAAAAAGCCACTCTCTTGTGGCAGCTGAATTTCTTATCCCTTTCCATAAAAACTCGTTGCCATCGAGTTGATTCTGACTCATAGAGACCCTACAGGACAGAGTAGAACTGTCCCATAAGGTTTCCAAAGAGCACCGGGTGGATTCAAACTGCCAACCTTTTGGTTAGCAGCTGTAGCTCTTAACCACTACACCACAAGGGCTTCCTTCCTTTGCATAGGGCATGTGAACTGCTAATAAGTTCATGGCCACAATTTTTAAGCAACATATGCCTAAGACACTGTATTCTTTTCTGTAAAATGGCTTATCCATGAATAATATATGCAGACACTTGTCTAAAATTATTTTTGTGGAGATACCTCATAGGCTTACCCTGCCATTTTTACAACAATGAAGGTTGCTGGGAGTGGGTGATGTCTGGATGAGTGTTTTATTGTGCTATTCTCTATTTTGTGTATGAAGTTTAAAGATTTCCAGATGGGTGTTTTATTGTACTAAACCAAAAATCCAAACCCACTGCCATCGAGTCGATTCTGACTCTTATCGACCCCATAGGGTTTCCGAGGCTGTAAATCTCTACGGAAGCAGACTGCCACATCTTTCTCCTGTGGAACTACTGGTGGTTTCGAACCACCGATCCTTCAGTTGGCAATAGGTTGCTCTAACCATTTTGCCACCAGGGCTCCTTTTTATTGTACTATTCTCTATTTTGTATATGATGTTTGGAGATTTCTATAATAAGAAACAAACAAAATTGAAATTTAAAAAAAAGTCTAGACCAATTTGGGGCAGATCCTAAAACAAATTCTAACAGGAGGAAGTGAAGAAATAGTTTAGAGAAAATATCTGAGGATTCAGGAAATGAGGACATACTTAGCAGAGCTTGTGTGAAAAACTGATATTCATCCACACTATTGTCAAGGTCAAGTGGAGTGCTGAATCCCTCAAGGGCAGTTTCTTCCAACACTTCTTCATCCCAGTCATCATCATCTTCCTCCTCATCTTCACCTCTTCCATTATTTGACTGCATTGCTTGAGCAGTTACATTTGTCTCCTCTTCATCACTTGAAATTTCCTCTGTGAATCCATTGTTTTAAAGGAATTAAAACACATAAGGACAAAATATAAAATTACATGAAGAAAAAAAATTAGAAAGTAACGTTCTAGAAATGGAAAAATTGCCACATAATTTTTCATAAGATTATAAAAACATACATCTTTACTGTAGTTTGCTAAATTAAGAATGACTTTACTCTCCTTGCTAAAACAATTTCCAACCATTCCTAAATCTGTGGTCCAGCTGGACTTCACTATTCAATGGCTGCCTCATATTCATTAATACAAGAATTTCATTTAACTGCAGATTCTCTATTAATTTTTTTTTGTTAAATAAAAAAAATAAGATGGGCAGTCATCAGTGCATGTTTTGTAAATAACAATGCCCTCCCCTTGAAAATGAAGGTCTTTTAACAATTAAGTTGATCCAGAATTGCTCAGAAATACTCAAAAGAGGAGGTCATTTCTGCTAATAGTAAAAATATTAAAATGTAAAGAAAAATAATGTAGTTACTACACATAGGCTCAAAAGTTGCATATCACCATGGATTTAATTTCTATTTTTGGTGCCAGTCTGTTCTAAGCAGTTACACCAGTATTGTGATAACCAGAAGGCAATAAATGCAGAACAAAATCAATATAAGAGGAAAAACCTAGAGTAATCCCAAGCCAGGCAATATTAATCTAAAACTAGTTCTATAAAGCACACCAAGGGGAAGCACCTGGAGGAAACAGCAAGGTAATTTTAGGGGTAGGGCAATAAGTCAGAGTTTGGACCAAATACATTGGTGGGGGGGCGGGGGACATGGCAAATGTATAATTACAAAGATGGTAAAAAAAACAAAAAACCTTTGCTAGTTAAAACTAGACAGTTTAGAGTATTACTAAAAAATTAGAAAATTTCCCTGCAAGCCTTGACTTTTTAAGCCAATAAATAGTAAGAAAAGAAATCAGATAAAGAGAACACTATAACATACTGAAAAAAGAATTCTGTATTATAATTATTGGCATGTACTTAACAAAAAAATAAACTATCTTCTAGTAATGGAGTAGTACTACAAAAGATCTACACAGAATTGAGAAAGCAGACAAATGAAAAGTTGTGCTTTGTGTTGGGGTGAGGGAAGGGTAGTTTACAAGTCCTTGTATATGAACAAACTGGGATGATGCCAGTTAAATGCGAAATGGTTTAAGTCTACGCGTGGTCCAAACCAAAACAAAACCCATTTCTGTCAAGTCAATTCTGACTCACAGAGACTCTATAGGAGAGGGTAGAATAGCACACAGGGTTTCCATAGGGTTTAAAAGGCTGTAAATCTTTACGGAGGCAGATTGACACATCCTTCTCCCAAGGAGTGGATGGTGGGTTTGAACTGCCAACCTTCTGGTTAGCGTCTGAGCACTTAAACACTGTGCCACCAGGGCTCCTCTATGCATGGTAAAACCATAGACTTTAGCATCAAAATAGAATTGCATGTTTTCCAGGAAGAGTTCTGATTTTTCTCAGTTAAAAAAGTGTTTTGAACTAGAAGAGGAAAAACTCCACTTGGGGTTGAATAACCCTACTTCCTGGGCCCTAGCAAGTAGTTTTGCAATCTCATAATTAAGTAAAATCAAGGTCTAATATTCTTGACTATAATCTCATTCTGCCTCTTGATTTGAGTGTATCATCTTCATTTATGTACTTTATTCTAAATTCATAAACTTGAAACACAAATATCTCTCTCAATTGTAAGCTCTGATAATGAGTCACCTAAACAACCGTTAAAAAAGCAGGCACTCTCTTATCAACCTGCTGTACTGACACTTCTGCTCTTAATCTAATGGTTCATTTAACTGATGACTACTGCCTTCTCTGAGGCTGTCAGCACAGGCAAACAGGAAAATGAAATACTGGGTTGCTAACTTGCTGTCAAGGCCATTTGATTCTGTTAGAAATTTATTTCCCAATATGTAACCACATCCAATAGCTCAATAAGAAACCACTGGGAGTTTAAATGTCAAGAAGGGCACAAATCTAAATTTACACTAGATGATATAACTAATAGCAAGTCAATCAAGCACATACGATTTTCAGCAGGCCAAAGGACGTAAACATGTAAATCTGTTTAATGACTCCAAATAAACTAAATTTAAAAAAAAAAAAAGCTCAAATCAAAATCAATCCTAGCATTCATTATAATTAGAAGACATTACCATTTTCTTCTATATCAGCTTTCTCTGCTTTTGAGTGATTTTCCCGGTCTAGCAATTGTCTAGAAGCACAGACCTGCTTTAGGCCAAGGAAGAGGAAGAGAATTGAGGGAACAATCTGTCCCACCACAGCATCTACTGCAGGAGGTCGATTTTGCAATTGCAAAAGGATACTCAGTCCTATTACACACATTTTCCGGTCATGATGCCTGCAGATTTTCAAGGAAAAAACAAAAATGTGGACGTGAGAAATACAATAAAAGACAAATTTTGGAGAAACTACCAAGAGAAACATCCAAGGTATACTCCAAGGTTCACCCATTGAAATTACAGAAATATTCCTCCATTTTTTACTATAGTGAGACCTGAGCCACAACTCAGCAGACTGCCCTGTTTTTCTGGGTCTTGCAGGTTTTCTGCCTCTGACAGGGTGCAGTCTAACACTTTTTTATCTTTCTCTATTAGTAGAAAATATTTTAGTTTTCCTTTCTGACAGGTTTCTGCCTTACACAAATTCCAGCTTTCACAGGTTTTACTGTATATGAAATCCTTTATAAGTCAAATTTTGTAAATGAATTATTATCGTCAAAGACCTATGAGAATCTGAAATTAGCATGGTGAATCTTGATGTCACATTAATTTGTAATTAATATAAATACTATATCTGGATCTTGACATAACAAGTTTTATTAAAGCAAGAATACCTATATTTGACAGCATGAAATTCCTGTACAATGGAAAAAAATGAAGAGTTCCTCAGACTTTTTCTTCATTATATTGGTCTACAAGGTTTCTTGACACATATACCCTACACTAACCCCAGATGACAAAAGCTGTTTCAAAAAAGGCTATTTCAGTATCTAATAAGCTGAAATTAATGGCTAGTAAGTATATTAAAAGTCCTCTGGTATAACACAGGACAAGGGAAATTTAATTCAGAAGGAAAAAAAGTTTCACCAATATACACTAGACACATTTTTTTCTACTAGATGTTTCCTCTAAGTTGCCTAAAGCTAAAAGAATTAAAAGACTACTATACTGGTGTAACACTCTTAAAATTGTAGGCATGAACAAAATTCATTTGCAGTGATACGATTTGTTTAAAATGGGAGTAATATAATAAAACAGAACAAATCTTATGATGAATTTTGCAAGCTTCTGTTATTCTTCATTATTTGCATTGCCTGAATTCATTCAAGTTACTAATGCCAAAGTAGCATGCTATGACCATAACTATACGTGACCTGAGGTTTTTCTCAAGCATGTAGCTCGTAACTAGCAGTGCACACCAGGTGCCACGGGATCACAGCAGTTAAGATGATTAGCAAGTGGGGCTCTAAAGAATCCAAGGGGAGGAGGAGCCAAGATGGCAGCTTAGTCAGACACATCATACTGTCCCCTCTACAATAAAAGATCTGAGAAACCAAGAGAAACAGATGCAGATAACAATCCTTGAACCTTGAACATCAAAAAGGAAAGATGAAGAATTGACTTGAACACCAACTAGAAGAAAAAAATTGAGCAAATGCAGCAAAAGAGGCATGATGCAGAGCAGAGAAGCTTTGCCAGCCATCCCTGCTCAACACGGTCATCTTGAGACAAAGCCAGCAGTGACCCTGGGTGAGGAGCACAGGAAGGAAACTTCACGGCATTCTTGTAAGAGACAGAGAAAATGTATAAACACACCTGGAGAGAAGCAATGTGAGTGGTCATGATCTGAATCTAAGGAAGGAAAAGAGTGTGAGAATTCTGGGAATGCTGCCATCCACAGGGCAGGGAGGGAGCCAGGATCCAGAGTTAGGTATAACCACAAGCACAGGTCCCTGACCTCCAGGGTGAGTGGCATGCACAAGAGGGTAGATCAGCGGACTATCAGCGGGAGGTTGCCTACCCAACCAGACTCTGGACGGCCCCCACCCTCCTCACACTTGGGTGGGGCAGGTCCTAACTGCTGGCTGCAGTGGACAGGAAGTGCCCAGGCACCCACATCTGCAAGCCAAAGAAGTGCACTTTCCCTTCCTCCACCCTACTAATCAGAGGCAGGAGAGAGTCCCAAACCCTGGTCGCCCTGCCCAACCAGAGATCATAATATGAGCCCCCCTCTCCCCTCACTCAGCCCCATCCACCAACCCCTTTACCCACCCCAAGAGTAACAGTAAGCACGCTCCTGTGCACTCACCTGGCCGTCACTTACCCCCACCCCAGTCCTGTGAGTGCCAGAGACCGGGCATAGGCCTGCCCACCACCCACTCCCCCTTACCCAGAACCAGCGAACAGCGGTGACCACGTGATCACACACACACACGTGCCTGCCACCCACCCCTTGCCCTGACCCAGCAAGCAGCAATGACCGTGCACACACCCGCCTGGCACCCAGCCCCGTGAACGGTGGTGACCATGTGCCCGCGCATGCCCACCACTCTCTGCCCGCTGACTGCACCTGCCTGTCACCCACGCCCCTATAATGTGGCAAATGGAAGTGACCCTGCATCCCCACCCGCCACCTACCCCCTCTGACCCAGGGAGCAGCAGCAACTGCACGCCCATGCTTGCACCCACCCACCACCCACCTCTCAACCCGACCTGGGGAGGAATGGTAACCACATGAGTGCATAAGCACCTGCCGGTCACCTACCCCACCCCAACCCATGAAGTGGTGAAGACCACACTCCCTGCTCACCAGCCACATCCACTACACCTGCTGTTCCATCCACTTGGCAAGTACAACCGCTCGCTCCTGTGCCGCTGAATCAAAGACAGACAACAGCCAACGCCCGTTCAGCTGGTCCTCAGCTGCCCCACATAACCAGCAAATAGAGACCCACACTCACACTCCCAGCCACTGTGCCACCCACCTGGAAACAGGTAGTGAGTGCTCTAGTGCTGCCAGATTAGTGACCAGAGTAGTACATCCACCCCTCCTACCTGGATGTATTGAAACAAAAAATCATGACAAAGGAAACAAACATACAATAAATAAATAAATATAATAAAAATGCCTCAGAGACAACAGGCAATATCAAATCACATAAAGAAGTAGTACAAGATGGCTTAAGCAAGTGATTAAAATAAAGGGCCAGAAAATATTCCTGAGGAAGAAATGATAATGGAATTACCTGATAAGGAATTCAAAAGACTTATATATAGGATTCATGAAGAGAGCAAGAAAAACTCGGATAAAACCCTAAAAGAATTCAGGAAAACAATACAAGAATAAAATGACAAAATAAATAGACAATTAAAAACCATACAAAAAACAGTAGCTAGAAATCCAGAAGATTAACAATAAAATTTCAGAAACAGATAATTCAATGGAAGGACAGAAGAATAGAATTGAATCAATGGAAGACAGAATCACTGAAATAGAGGATAAATCCCTTGATACTAATTTGTTGAGGAACGTTCAGAAAAAAGAATGAAGAAAAATGAAGAAAGCCTAAGAGTTATGTGGACACTATGAAGATAAATAATTCACGTGCAAAAGGAACTCCAGAATAGGAGGAAACAAAAAGAAGCACAGAGAAAATTTTTGAAGATTTGCTGGCAGAAAACTTTCCTAATACCACGAAAGACGAGAAGATATCCATCCAAGAAGCTCAACAAACCCCATACAAGATAGACCCCAAAGGAAAGTCACCAAGACATACCATAATCAAACTTTCCAAAACCAAAGATGAATCCTGAGAGTAGCTCAGGAGAAACAAACTGTCCCCTACAAAGGGGAAAAAATAAGACTAAGCACTGATTTCTCAACAGAAACCATGCTGGCAAGAAGGCAATGGGATGACATACATAAAATCTTGAAAGAAAAAAAATTGCCAACTAAGAATTACATAGCCAGCAAAATTGTCTCTCATATACGATGGCAAAACTAGGAATTTCCAGCTAAAAAGAAATTAAGGAAATTTGTAAACACCAGACCAATCTTAAAGAAATATTAAACAGAGTCATTTGGACAGAGAATCAACAACATCAGACAATAACCTGAGATTAAGACACATGACAACAACACCCTGATACCAACCAAGACAAAGAATTCTCAAAAATAAAATAAAGCTCTAATACTGAAAACAGGGAACCAGAAACATCAATCTGTAAACAACTTCAAAATAAAAAGGTGGAATAAATAGTGTAGCCACACAACTTCCATCTGGAGAGGAAATCAAGGCAATATCAAAATATAACAGAATGTTTTAAACTTAGAAGATAAAGGCAAATTTCAGGGTAACCACAAAGAAAATTAATAAACTTACCAAAACAACAAAGAAGAAAACCATAAAGACTCAGAGTCTTGGTGGTGCAGTGGTTAAGTGCTAACTGAAAGGTCGGCAGTTCGAACCCACCAGTCACTCCACAGAAGAAAGATGTGGCAGTCTGCTTCCATAAAGATTTACTGCCCTGTGGGGCAGTTCTACTCTGTCCTATAGGGTCGCTATGAGTTGGAATTGACTTGACAGTAGTGGGTTTGCTTTTTGGGAAACAAAAAATCAATAACAAAGGTAATGAAAATAAAATGCAAAAACAAACAAAACTCAGTACAGAAAAGCAAGCGGAACAAAGAAACTATCAAACCACAAAAAAAGCACAACAAAATGACAGCAGTAAATTCATACCTATCAATAACCAACACTGAATGTAAATGAGTTAAATGTACCAGTAAAGAGACAGAAAGTAACAGAATGGATACTAAAAAACATGACCCATGAATATGTTGCCTACAAGAGGCACATTAAACACTAGGATAAAAATAAGCTAAAAATCAAAGGGAGGAAAAAAATATATCAAGCAAACAGTAACCAAAAAAGAGCAGGAGTGACAATATTAATCTCTGATAAAACAGGAATTAAGGGAAAATCCAACAAAAGAGACAAGGAAGGGCACTATATAATGATCAAAGGACACCATCAAGAGGACATAACTGTAATAAATATTTATGTACCCAATGACAGAGCTCCAAAATACATACAACAAACTCTAACAGTACTGGAAAGAAAAATAGACAATTCCACAGTAAGAGTAGGAAATTTTAACACATCACTGTCAATGAAGGACAACAATTAGTAAGAAATTCAGTAAAGATAAAGAAGATCTAAACATTACAATTAAGCAACTTGACTTCATAGCCATATACAGAACACACCATCCAATGGCAGGACAGTACACATTCTTCTCCAACACACATGGATCATTCTGCAGAACAGATCATATT